ATCCCCCAACTCGATCTTCCTAGTCCCACATGTTCTCCTCTTCTCCCCTTCTTTTCTTCCTAACTCTCTCTCCACTCACTGCCCCCCCCACTCCCAATATGCTCAGGAGATCTTGTTCCTTTCCCCTTCTATGAGGGACCTTGTGGAAATCTCTTAGGTTCCTCCTTGTATCCTAGTTTCTCTGGCCATGTGAATTATAGGCTGGTGATCCTTTGCTCTATGTCTAAAATCCATATATAAGTGAGTACATACTATGTTCCTCTTTTTGTGACTGAGTTACCTCACTAAGGATGTGATGGGAGATGTCATTCTGTAAAAATGTTTCTCATACTGGTTAATGAATAAAGCACTGTTGGCCAATAGGAAAGAAAGATAGGAGGGACTAGGAGACAAGGAGTAGAGAGGAAGGAATAAGAAGGAGTCAACATGGAGAGGCTGGGGAGACGAAAGCACGTGGAGATATTAGATTAACAGAAATGGGTTAATACTTAAGACAGAGCTAGCCGATAAGAAACTAGTACCTGGCCAACAGCATTATATCTAATAAAGAGTCTCTGTGCGTTATTTGGGGCTGGCGCGGCAGCGGGACAAGACCAGCGGCAGGTGGAAAAACCTTACTCCTTACAAGGATGGTTCCTCAAATTCCATCCATTGGCCTGCGAATTTCAAGATTCCATTGCCCCCCCCCTCGCCACTCCCCCACCCCTGCAGAATAGTATTCCATTGTGTAACTGTGCCACATCTTTATCCATTCTTCAGTTGAGGGGCATCTGAGTTGCTTCTAGGTTCTTGCTATTACAAATAGTGCTTCTATGAACATAGTTGCGCACATGTCTTTGTTGCATGGATGTGGACCATTTGGGTATATGCCTAAGAGGGGATTGCCGGGTCCTGTGGTAGACTGATTCCCATTTTCCTGAAGAACCGCCATACTGATCTCCAAAATGGCTGTACAAGAAGTTCTTGTTAGTGTTCTTAGCATAATAATGGCATTGGGTTCATACCAGGAACTGTGCTAAATTTAAGAAAATGCCTAATATTTGAAGTGTTTAGTGTTAAATTTCAGGAGTTTTGTAGTTTACTTTCAAGTACAGGTATACATCATAATCCTATGCACATGTATGTGCAAACAAAGCAAACTTCAGTTTCCTGGATGATTTTTGTGTCATTTGAGAGGAAGGAACCTCAATTTAAAAATTACTTCCATAGAATCTGGCAAGCCTATTAGCCTGTAAGCCTGTAGCAAGCCTGTAAGGCATTTTCTGAGTTGGGAGTGATGCCATCCCTGAACTGATAATTCTGGATTCCATAAGAAAGCAGGGTAAGCAAGCCATGAGGAACAAGCCATCCCATTATGACCTTTGCATCAACTCCTGCCTCCAGGTTTCTGCCCTGTTTAAGTTCCTATACTGACTTTCTTTGATGATGAACAAAGTTGCTTTTTTTCCTGATGTTTCCCCAATGAAGGCATACAGTAACATTAATTAGCTTCTGAATCTAAGTGGTGGGGATACAGGCAATCAGGATGTTATTCTTAAAACTTTTATGTATGTTTGAAAAATTTTAATAAAATACTAGATTAAAAAAATTAACTGAAGTTAATCGGGTGGTAGTGATGCATGCCTTTGATCCCAGCACCCAATACTCTGAGTTCAAACCCAGGTAGGTCTACAGATTAAGTTTCAGGACATCCAGAGCTACACAGAAGCCCTGTCTTGAAAAAAAAATATCAAACAACAACAACAACAAAAGAAATCTAGGATAGTTCTATATATAAGTCAGGTAAAAAGAACTTTAGAACTGGGCGTGGTAGTACACATAGGATCCCAGTACTCAGCTGAGTCAGGAAGGTCATGAATTTAGGCCATCCTGAGACATGGACTGAGGGGGAACAAAAATATTTTACAGGAAGGAGTAGTCAGCTGTGATGGATGCTGTGGAGGGTCAGGTAAGAAGAAACATACTTGAGGGATTTGATTAACGCAGAGGTTACTGTGACTTTGTGTAAAATTGTCACTGGAGGGATGAAAATAGAAGCCTGAGTACAGTGGACTTAGGAGGAAAATGAAGCATGCATTCAACTTTTTTTTTTTTCATTTTTCATAAAAACAAAAAAAATGACTTTTTTGTTTGGAAGCCGGTTCTTCTCTCTTTTGAGTCATCGGGGCTGGGGATTAAATTCAGAATTGTGCCATGATCAGCAGGCATTCTGTCACTGAGCTAGATCTGCAGTTCCCCCCACCCCTTTATACCTGTTTAGCATTTGCCTCAGTGTGTGTGTGCTCTTGAGTGTGGGCACCCATGTGTATGGAAGTACATGACTAGTGTGTGTGTTTAGGCCTGAGGTTTTTAATTCTTTAGAAGGTGGTTTGTAGTGCAGGTTGACTTTAAACTGTACAGCTCCGTGAAGACTTGAACCACTGATTCTCCTGTCCTTCTTACCCTATTTCCTGACTGCCAATGCCAGCCAGGCGATCTTCCTGCCTTAGTCTCTGTAATGCTAGGATTACAGTTATGTGACTTCAGGCCTAGATTTTTTTTTTCCTCCCCTTTGAGACAGGGTCTTATTTTCCAGTGTAGGCGGGCTCTGTTTGCTACAATCCTCCTACCTCAACCTCTTTAGTGCACTGGGATTGTCAGCATGAACAACCATGTCTGACACAGTGTTTTGGTTTTTTGTTTGTTTGTTTGTTTTAACTTCTTGTCCGGCTGGACAAGAGCACTGTCTGCTCTTAACCCAGAGAACTGGGTTCAATTCCCAGCACCTATGTGGCAGCTCACACCTGCCTGTACTCCAGTTCCAGGGTTTCTGACACCCTCACATGTAGGCAAAATACCAATAAACATAAATGTAAATAAACATCTTGTCATTGTTACTAAAAAAAATAAATAAGTAACTGAAAATTTTTATCTTGGAAGCTGTAAGAAATGTTAGGACTTTATTGTAAGTGATTTTTATTTGTGTCAATCATTATTAATGAAAACCTTTCCATTCACTAAAAAATGTAATTCTTTTGATATTAAAAATGCCAGTGTTTATAGTACATTTTAAAGTTGATTGTAACTCAGCACTTTAAAAAACATTCATTACATGTAACTCTCTGGGAATATTGTTGGCAGTCTACAAATCTTGGGGGATTTTGTGTGTCTCTGTGTAAGAAACTAAATGTCCAGGACTGTAGTAGAAACCTTTTAAAGCATCCCAAGGAAACAATTTTTAAAAGTGTTTGAATCATATACATTGCTGTTCTTCAGTGGGGAAATTACCATCAACAGACATGCTAAAGGGTAGTGACTATGGCTCACATTTGCCCCATTAGCAAGAAGCAGAGTAAAGTCCTATGATGAGGGAGACTTGGACTGGAAAGAGCAAGTTAGGTCTTTCTACTTGTAGAATGGAGAGAAAATGAACACTCTAAACTGTGAACAAGGGAGCCCTGGGGCTTGTTACTTCACTGATACTGAAAAGGGTATGCAGTTACAGATAGCAACTGAGTGTGCTGTTGCAGTCCTGAAGTTACTGCATCTGTAAGGAAACAGATGAGGAAAATCTGTGTGTTTGAAGATTGGACCTTATCAAACACTATCTTCAAACCGAATGGCTCTTTTAAAGATGGGAAAAGAGTTCAGACAAGATAAATGTGAGTTTTTCTGAGCTATGATATAATTCATAAACAGGGCAGCACTAAACCTAGAAGTTGAGAGAGCTGGTTTTCAGCAACAGGAGTGAGTGTGTGTGTGTGTTGTGGGAGTGGGGAGTGCTTTCACAGGCTGAACACAGATGAAGAAATCACTAGGTTGATTGTATCTAGGCCTTTGCTGCTTTCAGGTTTTGATCAGCTAAGAGGCCTCTAGTTTTGTAGCCGGTAACCTAGTGGGCTGTCTGTAACAATCTGAGGTCCATCACAAATACAGCATCCAGCTTCTGTTTCCAGAGCTTATGCAAGAATGACCTACAGAGCTAACCTCAAGCTAATGGTTTCATGATATGAGGAAATTATTCTCTAGCCCTTAGTAATGTCTTTGTGTTCACCAATTATAGCTTGGCATTTAGTTCTAGTGTGTAAGTGGCCTTGTTGACATGCTTATTTTTTACTTATCTGTTTGTTTATTGAGACCCAGTTTCAGCATGTTGCCTAGGCTAGTTTCAAGTTCCTGGGATCAACTGGTCCTTCCACTTTAGGCTCCAGTAAGTCCACATTGTCACACTTGGGTTATACATTGGCCTTTGGGTCCCGTTATTTGCTTTGTTTTGTTTTTTATTTTTTTAAAGATTCATCAGTTACTCAATGCTGATTGCTCTCACTTTTAGATAAACAAATTCTTTATCTGGACACATAGCAATAATAAGTAAGCCCCGCAGGGAATTCTTTTCATCAAACTGTCTCAATACGACTCATTTCAGTAGATTCAGTTCACTTACCCCTGCAAATGCTTCTGCGGGGGATGAAGTTTGCATTCACTTCAAGTTATTCATCCAGAACACAGTGGAGGAAGTGTTCCTGCCACGAGTGAGTTTTTACTATCTTGGCCATTTCTTTTTTTCTTCTATTATTTCTGTTGATTTGATCTTATCGCATACTATTTGTCTTTACCACATACTGTCTGCTTGTGTCCATGCTGAACTGATGTTTAAGTATGGCTTCACACACAGCATGGTCCTTAAAAGGTCTCATCTCATCTCAGTGATGAGCCAAATGTCTCCCCTACTAGCAACCTGTGCTTTAGACACATTATAGGGGATTAGGTGCCAAGTGGCATTACCATGAGCTTTGCATGTGGTTAGTTATGGAATGAGTATCTGTGTGATATTTGATGTTTGAGAGTCTCTGACTAATGGAGAATTCCCAATATTCCCCAGGAGAACATGAAAGGAGTGCTTGGCTTTTTGTTTTGTTTTGCTGTTGTTTATAACTTGATTTTTCTGAATTAAAGGTGCAATTGTCTTATATCATTTTCCTTTATTAAACATTATCTGTTTTTTCCTTTTATATTTTTAGCATGCTACTGAAAAGAATACGGAATCGTCTTCGAAATCAGGAGAAAAGAAAGGATCAGAGGAGGTAATTTCTGTAATACTCATTATCATTTTCTTTGTTATTCTTTTAAAATTGTGAATTCTGTTATTGAACAGTTGACAAATTTTGGGAGGTTTTCCTGCTACATAATTGTGCTGTGTCGTGTCTGTGCACGATGTTTGTAAGTGAGGACCCTGTGGGTACACATCTTCCCAAGTGCATGGATTTGGAGGTCAGTGGTCCTTTGCCTTCAATTTACAGTAGCTCTGTTATTTCTCTGCTGTTCACAGAAGGTTAATTGACCCAGAAGTTTCCAGGAATTCTGCCTGTTCCTCTCATCTCCCTTCAGGAGCTCTGTCTGGAATTACAGACATTCACACTATAAAACCAGCTTTTCATGAGACATGGGGATTTGAACTCAGGTTTCATGCTCACACAGCAAGTGCATTTGCCCACTGAACCAGTCTTGAAAATTTTAGCTTGAACTAAGACATGATTCAAGAATGTTATTGGAAATCTTGAAAAGAAAAATCTCCATAGTGACCCTCAGACAGGAACCTTTTTAGATAGTTTCAATTTAGAAACAGAGCTCAATTTTGGATGTCTTCTTGAGAGTTTTTGTTTTGTTGGTGGTGACTATGGCAAATATAGAAAGAACCCAAAGCAATGGCAGGAGAGAACAGACGTTTTCATGGCAGGGCACTGTGAAAGGAGAGCAGTGGTAGCCTAGATTAAAAGGTCATTCAGATTTGGAGACAAAAGGAAGAGAACTATTTGTATCCCCATCAGTTCAGTGGAGACATTGTAAGAACAATTCTCCTTGCTTTGAGGTGTGTTTTCTTTGCTCTTCTGAATATCTGCTTTGACTGGTAACACACCGTTGTGGGCTACTAGTGCTGACCTACTTCACCATGGAAGTGTCCTGTAATAGTTTTGTTCTCCAAAGGGCACTGGGTTTGCCTGTCTTGTTACTGTATTTTAGAGGACTGTGTTTGCTAACTCATGAGCATGATTCTTTTGGGAAAGAATCTCACAGTCAGAGAAATGATTCATGGTCAGTTGTTCACACAAAGAGCTGGAGGGGAAGAACTGCACCCTGTCGTCTGCTCTCTGGGCAGATATTCTCAGTGGATCTCATCATCTGTACTCAGAAGAAATTGTCTTGCTTCCTATGGTTAGTCACTATGTATCCCTGAAACGCTGGATACATAAAAAAGCATAAAGTGGTGGTCTCATATTGAGCAGGTATTTTTTTCTTCCTTCCTTCCTTCCTTCCTTCCTTCCTTCCTTTCTTTCTTTCTTTCTTCCTATTGTAAATTGAAGCTCTCTTCCTGCTCATTTTTCTGTAGCTCTGAACTATTTTGTATATAAGGAGATGTTTAGGGCTAGGACCTATCATTTACTGTTTTCTTGTCAGACTTCTACTAATATCCATGAAAGTATACTTCAAAGTACTTCTTTTTTATTACATTTTAATTGTGTGTGTGTGTGTGTGTGTGTGTGTGTGTGTGTGCAGGCCACTGATCCGACAGTATTTTATGGAGGTCAGAGGAAAACAGGAAAATTCTTTCTGGAGTTAGTCCCACCCTGTGGGTCCCAGAGTTCAAGCTCAAACTCAGGTCACCATGCATTGTAGCATGAACCCTGGACCAGAGAAGCACCTACCTTAATTTACAATGTTTCTTACCATTAAAAAAATGTTTAAAAATGTGTTGAAAATATTTGTTTCTATGAAATGCAATTTTTTTTAAAAATAAAATGTAAATGTAAGATTTCATTCCGTTTCCTTTAAAAATCATTAAATAATGAATTCTGATATGAAAATTTTTCTATTTCTAATACCATGAAAGTATTGGCCATCATTTAGTCATTTTTATCAACACTACCTTTTAAATGTATCCCCAGATTAGTTATCTATCAAATTAATTTTTTTAGGCAAATTGCAAGAACTTTCTGTTTGAAATTATAGTGTCTTTTATTCTTGAATAGTTGATATAGAGATTGAATTATTTGCACACACACAAAACAAGGAACTCTTTTCAGGTACTACAAAATAATTGATAAAGCAATTTCCATACTGTCTTTATGGCCAATTGCATTATAATTTGGAAGCTTTAAAATTATATCTTGAATGGGCAGACACTGTTGAATTAGGCACACTTGCTACCACGAGTCTATGATATATGGATCATAAAGCCTGTCCTACTTGTCAAAGGCTTGGGAGGACTGACTATTCAGAAGCTTGTGGGGGATGCTAGGAGGGAGGATTCCAAGGTTTGATTCTGCCAAGACATACTTCATTTTGAATTTCAGTTGTAAAGTATAGATCCAATTGTATAGATACAAAAGGAGAAAAACCATTCTGTTTGTTAGCAATTGAAGTAGTTCTAGTGTTTTTTTATACCAGTGCTGGGGTATTCACACTCACAACTCCTGTCCCTGGAGTAGAGGCTGTTTTGCTATGTTCCAGCCACAATACATAAAGTATTCCCCCTCCTCCATAATTTAAATTATTACTCTAGACAAAACAAATTCAGTAGAGTTTAAATATACAAAGGATAATCCATGAATCAAGAACACCTTCCAATGGGAAGAATTCTATGACTACTTACTTGTCTTGGCCAGAGAAAACAAGCATGGAAACCGATACTTAATAACTACAATGTTTCCAAAATGATATCTCTCAAAGCCTCTAATGGTTGATTTGCATATAACAAATGATGAGATATTGTAACCCAGCAGTCTTAACGTTAGCTTTTGTATTCATGGTTTTCTGGCTAATGCTTTTGTCCCTACTATCCATGGTCAGTTACTGTATTTTTTTTTTTTCCAAAACTGCTAGAGAAGGACCTCTTAAACTGAATCTCTTTTCCAACTATATATATCATTTCTTTTCTTTACCCCTCCTCTGAAAGAATGGGATAGGATTAAGAAAGTTTGAGCTAGCATTCTGTCACAAGGACTGTCTTTGCAACTTGGAAGGCTGAGGATGGGGCCTAAGTTCAAAGTCAATCTGACTAACAAAGCTAGGCTCTGTTTCAAAGCAAGCAGGCACATGAGAAACAGACAAGCCAAACAGTTTTGGTAATCCATTTCAAACCAGAACACTCCACTATATTATCCCCAGGAACATGAAATTACAGGAGAAAATCAGTGTCATAGCTACTCTTCCACATGTAGAGATAGGCTCTTGATGACTTTTTCCCTCTCCTTTTATTTCCTCCGATTTCTTTCGAGGCATGAGACAAAGGCCCACATGAGGGCCTTGTTGGTTGGGGTAATATAATACAAACAGATGATGTTTAATAAGAAATGACAACTCTGATATATTGTGTTTCAAAACTTTCTCGTTTAGTGTTGTCAGTAGCCTCTACTACTTTAGAATGCATTTGTTGCACAGCCACTATGTGGTCTGCAGATGCCTACAGCAGTACTAATAGTATGAAGCATGTAAAGCATGGTTTATCATGTTGCATTTCAAATGCAAAGCTTGAAGATGGAATTGAGTAAGAACCTGTGAGAATTCTTAGGAGAATTCTAAAATCAAAAGTTGCATGGGCTGAAATAGAACTAGAGTCCAGGGGAAAAAAAAAAGAAAGAAAAGAAAAAAGAAAAACAAAAACATTTAACACCGGCACCTTTAAATACATTGGAATGAAGAAGTCTCCCAAGACTTGCAATCAAATCTATTTAAAGTATTTGAGTGACACATCTGGCCACACTGGGAAAAACAGAATTAAAAAAAAAATGAAAGGGCATGACCTTTCAGAGACAAATTTAAAATCTTCATATTTAGTGATGGATGTGTTTTGTAACTAAAGGAAGAGCTCTGTGGGTAGCCCTGAAGGGAAGAGGTAGATTTTATGTCTAGCTTGCCTGAATAGCCCACATAGCCTTGTCTTCCTCATTACACACTTCTTCTAACAGGTGTAAACCGATTATGGAATGATCCAAGCTTCTGATACTTTTCTTTTAATAAAGTCTGTCTTTTTTATATCAGAGAATCAATATATACTTAGAAGAAATAATATCACCCACAGTCTCAATACTCACTGATAATTTTGTGTGATAATTTCATATATTCATGATTGTTAAATACATTAAGTTTTAGGTACTCTTGTTTAAAAGTCATGCATCTAGAATATAATCATTGGAAAAACCATTTGAAGAAAACAATGCCACCTCTAGAATCTAAAACCCAGAAAGGTTGCCTTCTTTGACATCTTGGTGCATTTTTAAGTTAATTAAAAATTAATTCTATCTCAAAATACAAAGATTATATTCCATAGATTTTCATACTACTGTTGCCATCTTTTTGTAATTTGTTTCTATGCCTCCTTGTTCTTCTTTTTCTTCCCTGTACTCGATCATTCAAAGAAGTATAATGTCATTTGGACCTCTATGGTGTAGGCAGAGCCCTCCCTCCTTGCTGAGTCAGAATTCAGGGACAGATTGGAGAGGATAGCATTCTCTAGACTCCTAGGCAGCTCAACTGCCTCTAGACCAGAAAATGAGACTGGACCACCTTGTGGATTTCTACCTGAAAATTCTAAACAGTAACTAACAGAAAAACAAACAAGAAAATCAAACCAAACCAAACAAAACAAAACCCTGCCTGAAGGTGCTTGCCAGAGTGTGTATCAGTGAAATATGAAGCAGGGCACATTTTTTCATTTCAAATTTCTACATACCATTAGGATATACTCAGTAGGCCTGCTGCTTACAACATTAATCATTTCCCCCTCCCTCACCTCCTTCCACTCCCCCCCCCACCTTTCCTCCATCCCATCCCCCATCAGCTTCTCAGAGAAGGTAAGGCATCCCATGGGGAGTAAAAGAAATCTATTCCATCACCACATTGAGACATGACCAAGGCCCTTTTCCCCTGTGTCTAGGCTGAGCAAGGTATCTCTCCATAGGAAGTGGGCTCCAAGAAGCCAATTCATATTAGGGATAGATCCTAGTCCCACTTCCAGTGGCCCCACAAACTGCTCAAGCCATCCACTGATACCTGCATTCAGGGAACCTATTTTGGACCTCTGCAG